ACAGCTAATATCATTCTCAATGGAGAAAAGCTTCTGCACAGCGAAGGAAACCAACAACAAAATGAAAAGACAACCTAACAATTGGGAGAAGGTATTTGCAAACTATATATCTGACAAGGGGTTAATATCCAAAACATAAAGAATTCATACATCTCAACACCAAAAAAACTAACAAACCAATTAAAAAATGGGAAAGAGATCTGAACAGACATCCCTCCAAAGATATACAGATGGCCAACAGGCACATGAAAAGATGTTAAAGATCATTATCAGGGAAATGGAAATCAAAACTACAATGAGATATCATCTGACTCCCCTCAGAATGGCTATAATTAACACATCAGGAAACAAGAAGTGTTGGAGAGGATGTGGAGAGAAGGGAACTCTCATACACTGCCGGTGGGAGTGCAAACTGGTGCAGCCACTTTGGAAAACAGTATAGAGATTCCTCAAAAAATTAACAGTAGAGGGGCCAGCCTGGTGGTGCAGTGGTTAAGTTCACGTGGTCTGCTTTGGTGGCTCAGGGTTTGCGGGTTCAGATCCTAGGCACAGATCTACACACTGCTCACCCAGGCATGCTGTGCTGGTGTCCCACATACAAAAAAATAGAGGAAGATTGGCACAGATGTTAGCTCAGTGACAATCTTCCTCAAGCAAAAAGAAGATTGGCAACAGATGTTAGCTCAGGGCCAATCTTTCTCACCAAAAAAAAAAAAAAAAAAATTGAGACTAGATCTAGCATACCATACAGTTATTCCACTGCTGGGTATTTACCCAAAGAACATGAATACATGAAGATACATGCACCCCTATGTTCATCGCAGCATTATTCAAAATAGCCAAGACTTGGAAGCAACCTAGGTGCCCGTCAAGGTACAAATGGATAAAGAAGATGTGGCATCTATACCGAATGCTACTCAGCCATAAGAAAGGATGAAATATGGCCATTTGTGACAACACGGATGGACCTTGAGGGTATTATGCTAAATGAAAGAAGTCAGAGGGAGAAAGTCAAATACTGTATGATCTCAGTCATAAGTAGAAGATAAAAACGACAAACAAATACATAGCAACAGAGATTGGATTGGTGGTTACCAGACGGGGATGGGGGGGGGGAGAAAGGGCAAAAGGGGTGATTAGGCACATGTGTGTGGTGATGGATGGTAATTAGCATTTGGGTGGTGAACATGATGTAATCTACACAGAAATTGAAATATACTGATGTACACCTGAAATTTATATAATGTTATAAACCAATGTTACCACAATAAAAATAAAATTTTAAAAATTTTTTAAAATTACTCTGATTTTTGTTAAAATATTCAGCCCTCTTCCATATCTCTGATATACTTTAGGGAAAAACAACACTTCTTTGGTCTAAGTGTAATTCTATCTTTGCTACAATGAATCATTCAGAGGCTATATGTAAGAGAGTCAATGCATAGAATTTTCCAGATTAAGAGGTTGGCTCATTAAAGAACAGCTTGGCTGTTCTGGTATCTCACTTTTTCCTTTTACTATGTCTCTATCCGGTGGCACATCTCAGGAAGTGGTGGGAGTGGTCTTCACTGGGTGCAGCAATAAAGGGTGCATTGTTTGTAGAGAATTTAAAGACAATAAAACGACCAAAAGTTGATCTGCTTTTTTTTGGTCTCTTTGTATGAAATTGTCTTTGTCTTTATTTTTTTAATTGAAATTTTTATTGATATAATTATAGATGCATACGTAGTTGTAAGAAATAATACAGATAGATCCCCTGCATCCTTTTCCCAGTTTCCCCCAATGGTAACATTTTACAAACCTATACTACAATATCACAACTAGGATACTGACATTGATAAATCCACCAACCTTATTCAGATCCTCCCAATTGTACTTGTTCTCGTTTGTGTGTATTTAGCTCTACACAATTTTATAACGTGTAGGTTTGTGCATCCACCACCACAGCCAAGATACTGAACAGTCCCCATACCACAAGGACTCCCCATGTTGGCCTTTCATAACCACACCCACCTCCCTCCTGCCCGCCTCCTGCTCCACTATCTCTAACCTCTGGCACCCACTAATCTGTTCTCCACTTTTTAAAGTGTTGTTTCAAAAATGTTTTATAGATGGAATCACACAGTATGTATTCTTTTAGGATTGACTTTTTTACTCAGCATAATTCTCTAGAGATTCATGCAAGTTCTTGTATCAATAACTTGTTCCTTTTTTTATGAGTAATATTCTATGTATGTACCACAGTTTGTTAAGCCATTCACCTATTGAAGGACATCGAAGTGGTTTCTAGGTTTTTGCTGTTACTAACAAAGCTGCTATGAACATTTGTGTACAGGTTTTTGTTCTGTTCTTTATCACCATATACTGGCGATTCGAAGCTGTCTGCCGGACCATTCCCAGCGACCTGCTCCCTGCCTAATATGCCACTCTCTCTGCCACAACTGCTGACACCATCCACAACACTGCTGCTGGTGCCGCTGGTATTGGAGCTTGGTCTGACTTCCCCGGACGGGAGGGTGGTAGAGAGAGCAGAGGGCAGCTGTGGTGACGGTTCTGCCAATAAGAAAACTTGGACCAGTCCTTGCCAAGACTGCTGCGTCTCTCACCTGCTTCATCTGCTCCCTTTTCCTCCTGGTGACTAATGCTCTCCTTATTTTCTGATCCAAAATTCAGAGGGAACTCCTTTGCTTGGCTTAGTTAACATAGCCCACCCACTTTATGGATTAAAAATCAGTCTATGGATAAACCATCACTGGCTCAGGTGCTCACGCCTAGTGCAATATGTAGCCACTCCTGGGTAAAGAATCTACTTCTCCAAACTATGGGGCAGTGTTATTTCATCTGTGGGCTGTGCCATTTCTTGTGTTTGTGTGTGTGTGTGTATAATTTCTGCTAACAAGAGGAATTGAATGGGCCACGACTGCCATGGCCTGCATGCATGGAAGATTCTTTAGACAGACTAGACATCCATCTTAGCCACAAAAAGGCAAAAATCAATAAAATACAAATTTTTGACCTGTTTATAATAATGTTCATTAAAATAACATTGTAAAACAAACTCCAAGATAATAAGATATAAAATGATCTGTAAACCAATGAAAAGTCAGGTGATATATATCAAAAAGGGAATACTTTAGTTTTGGAAAAATTGATTTGTAGCCCTTCTTTTTTTTTTAATAAAGAGAGTCCAGGTTTGGTTTACTAATAAGGTCCCTCTGAGTACAATATAATAAAACATAATATATAAAAGTGCTTTGTGTTCCATTGTTTATAACAGAAGAGTGAAATGAAGAAAAGCTCTCGGATCATTAAGGTATACTTTTTCTTTTTTCCTGCTTTTTCTCCCCAAATCACCCCGGTACATAGTTGTGTACTTTTACTTGTGGGTCCTTCTAGTTGTGGCACATGGGAAGTCGCCTCAGTATGGCCTGACAAGTGGTGCCATGTCCGCGCCCAGGATCCGAACAGGCAAAACCCTGGGCCGCTGAAGCGGAGTGTGCGAACTTACCCACTCGGCCACGGGGCCGGCCCCCAAGGTGCACATTTTTGAAGTGGCTAGGAAACACTTCCTACTCTAACACAGGGTTTGGTAAACTCTGGCCAGCCTGTCACCTGTCTTTGTAAGTAAAGTTTAATTGGAACACAGTCACACCTATTCATTTACTTATTGTGTACGGCTGCTTTCACACTACGACAGCACACTTGAGCAGCTGCAAAGGTCTGCAAAGTCTCAAATATTTACTATTCGGCCCTTTACAGAAAAAATTTGCTTTAATTTAATTATTAAGAGACCATTATTCTAATCCTGACCATTTTGGGTGGTATTCTGCATGAGCATGAGCTGTGAAAGCCTATGTCAGCTCATGCAGCTTAACCCGAATTCCTAGCCTACAAAATTAAAGGTTAAGGAAAGATCGGTATGTGCCACAATCTAATAATTTTTATGGAGATTTTCTCCATAATGCACTGTAGGGGATGCAAATGAATCGACAGAACTTTGATTAGATAATAATACTGCTTCATGTAAAATTCTGCCCTGAGAAACCCAGGTTGAAATATCTCAAATTAGAAGCTGGCATAAATAAAAATATATCTAAAAAGATGAAGTATTCAGTGCAATAAAAAGGTTGTATGTTTACACGAAGAAATGTGACTGTTTTACTGGATAAACCCTGGCATCGAATCCCCTGACGTGGTTAGGCAGAGCTGCAAAGGAACTTTCCCATATGGTCCTGACCCTTAAAGGACCCCAGGCGGGGGGCAGCTGCCCCCACTGTGCGTCCCATAGGGAAGATACATACCATACCAGTGGTGCTGCAAGTGTCTGCAGAAAGTTCCAGTTTTGTCCCTGAGATCCTCAGCAACCATTTTGGGAATAGACACTATGAAACAATTAGGAGTCATTTCTAATTAGGCCTTGATTGTCAATATATCCTACATATCCCAAGGATGACATGGAATGACATTAAGGGGGACCACAGTGAGAAACATAGGGTTTGCAATTAGACAGGGTGGGCTATAACTTCCTGGACCACTGAGGTTAATGTATACTGATGGTGGCCATCTAAATCTTCTAAGGGCTCAATGCTTAAGATCCTTTTACTGGGAATTTAATAAACATGCAAAGGTCAATTTTACTGAATTACTAGACACTGAAACGGTAGGCATCTTTAGCCACAAATATAGCTCCACGTTCTGGATTATGAAACAAATTCTCCTTGGGCAGATTCTAGCACATGGGGTGAAATTTTCAATTCCTCTCTCAAACTTTGCTTTGGCATCTGCTATAAGACAGACCTAGTTCATTTGCCATAAAAAGTCACATATTTTTCCCCCATTTTTTAAAAACTGTCATCAAGGATAGATAGGGATTTTTTACTCAAACTTGGAAAATATAATCTGCGGCATAGTAAGATTACTTTAAAAATGAGATGATGAGTGTAGGTGGTGAAAAAGCTTTCAGTGACATAATGAGGTAACACCCAACTTGGAAAGAAGAGTAAAAAAGTGCTTTTTACTAGAGGAAATGTAATGAGATGTTGCCATCATTTAGGGCAGTATACTAGCACTTTATAAACATTAAATTACAGCTTTACAAAAATCCGAGTTAGGAGTTACTACTTACATTTGAATACCCTAATTTTACATACTTAAAGTCCTTAATTAAAAGAAAACCCAGCAACAACTCAATTACAAGTTGACAAATAGGACAAAATTCCTTGCCAAAAATAGTCATTAAAAGCTAATCAATAGTTCCAGAACACATTTTACACTGACATTTTTTAAGTGAAATTTTGTGTTAAAATCATAAAAGGCATAAAATAGAAGCTATTAATTATGTTGTAATGGTGAATACTGGGTTTAGGTTACTATTTTAATGGTATTTATTCTGTACAATGTATCTATGTGGTCCGACCTTCATTTCTCTTCCTCATTCCTCCTATTTAGAATTTTTAAGAGTAAGCACAATGCCATTTCTTTAACCATTCAATGATTACCTAGAAGCAAGAGTACAGCACAGGCAGATAATCTTTATTATATTTTAACTAGAAACAGAGCAGATAGCAAGTTCACGAGGTATTTTTGATTATTATTCTTTTAAAATCAGGCTTCAATAACAATAATCAAAGTGAGCCTTAACCACACAGATATTTTGGTCACTGTTAGAATCTTCAAGGGCACAAAAGCCAGTAGCGTAAAGTAACATAAAGGTAATGACTATGAGAATTTTTGATGTGCCAAAAATGTCGGTCGCTGTATCAAACTCTACCCTTGTGTTTTCTTAATATTCTCCTTAAATATTGAACAATTCATTACTCAGCAAAATATCAAACATGCACATAGCATTCCTACAAGAATACTATCTTAATATTGTCAATACTAATACTAAGCTTTTCTTTACCCCCAAAATTCAATGAATCATGGTTCCATCACCTATATGTATTAGTGTTAGTGGTAATATGTAAAATTGCTTGTTTTCAAAGTTAAATAGCAGATTGACTTCGCATTTGGTGGCCAGCCTTGTACCCTAATTTTTCCTGTTTTATTTTCTTAATAAATTGAACTACATTCCATATACCCTGAGATTTTCAATAACCTGCTAATGATTGTATACTTTTAATTTATACTTTATTCTACTCAATTTGAACCCCACACAATTAGTATTTAAAATTATTTACAGATGGTTTTAACTAAAGCAATGACAACATTTACTACTTATATAGTTAAACTGCTAATAAGGCCTTTAACTAAGAGTTGCATATTTTATGTATTTTTTTACTTGCTAGGAGCAATTCTTAAAATTACATCCATAATTCTCTGTCAGCGTAAGTGCTTTCCATTTTGCTTACTGCTACATGAATAACCAGATTCACTTTTTTTCCTCTCTTGTAAAACAACTCTTTTTTTTGTCTTCCCCAAATAATAAATGTTAGTTGTCTGAATGAACAGGTGTCAAAGAAACTTAGAATTTGAACGACATATTGACAACTGTAATGCCTAGCAGAGAAATATGCTCATGATAGGCATTCAATAAATGTTCCCCATGGAATGAGTGATTTGTAAGGCAGCTGTTAGAGTCAGATCCTTTCCATCATATACTGAAACTAATTTTAACTACGGAATTCGGGTTACCAGATTTAATTTGCCCTAAAATGTAAGTCCAAGAACTTGAAATTTAAAAAACTGTCTTAACAATTCTCAGAAAAAGTAAACTGGTTAATAATAGTTGCTACTGTAATATTAGTTGATAGGAAAAAAAGGAGCAAAATTACTTTCCACTAAACCATATGTACAACTGGTGAGAAGAAATAAAACCCAAGAAGTGTTAGCTAATTATTATTTTCTCCACCTTTAACCTTGCAATGTTTTTTGTTCAGATATTTATCCCTGCTAATTTCTCTAGCTGAAAGAGGATTTTTTTATCTAAATGGATTTCCCCATCTCCTTAGGTATGTAATGTTAGTGAAAAGCCCGTGTAAATGTAAGATTATATTTTCACGTCATGCCATGTTTCCGTATTTGTTTTTCGCTGATGTCAAATGTTCTTATTTAAATGATGCTGTATAGAATATGAGATAATCTCCCAATTTACTATGAGATTGCTTGCTTATAATATTCAGTTTTTGTTGATAGCTTGGAAGCATACTGCACACTTGTCATCTAGCACATTAATGAGTAACTACTACTCTTTTTAGAAAGGATACACTGACAAATTCTTAAGTTAATGGCTTTGGCCAAACATTTTTAGTCCATCACAGGACAATAGCAATGGCAAAAACATTGACGATACAGTTCATGGTTCGGTTCTCCCATCTTACAGTACAGGTTCCTGAAAATACACAAAAAGAGGACTTTGAAATACCAGAAAAACATCAAAATTACCAGAGAATATATATATATATATATATATATATATGTATACATTTTTCATAGGTTTTAGTTTCTTATTTCCTGCAATCTGTTAAACCCTCACATCTCATATTTTTCTGAAGGCATACTTGTGACTAGGTACAAAGCAATTTTGTTGATAAGTGTCTTTTCATAATTTAATTGGAAATAAATAAGCATTCGATAATAAGTACACTGTATGCTAGAAGTTGGACTTGGTTTGAATCAGCTTAAGGTCTCTTACCGTCAGATGTAGTATCCCAAAAACATGAGCTGGCCGTGTGAAAGCCATATGCACTTCTCTGGACCACTGCACAGGTCACTAAAAATAAAGGTGCAGAGTGAGAACATTTATAAACAAAGGAAAAGACCCCTAAGATCTAAGTGTTTGAGTTCAGAGCTCTAAAAGCTGTAAAAGTAACAGAAAACAAAACATTCAGCAAATGGACTGAAAAAAATAAGACTCTCATCTTGATTATGTACCACCACGATACCGACCCCACTGGGTCCCGTCTGTTTGTTGCCCATTGCCACAACAATTGGTGACTACAGTGCAGGAAAAATCTCGGCCAAATTATGTGCCTTGTTCCATGGGCATAATTCAGACACAGAAATGAAGAAAAGACTCCACTTTACAAACAATTTTTGCATGGCACTTCACAGACCTACATGTAAGGAGGCATGGGGCTATTGAAAGGAAGACAGTAGGCCTGAGTGGGTTTTGATGGAAAGGGATAACTGATGGAAACGTAAAAGAGGATGCTACCAAGGGCAAGCAGATGGTTGGCAGGAGTTCAAACTGCTTTTAAGTAGCTAAAGAGCTCCATCTTTTAGGTATTATTATATATTATCTTTGGATGAATAAGTCAGAAGTCCTTCATACCCGATTAGTATCCAACTTGATTGTCTATCACTCATTTACATTCTCCAAATTCAGAGAAAACCACAAGGACAAAGGTGAGTAAACTAGGGATAAAAGATGGTGATACTTACCAATATATTTATAAGCTTTTCCCAACTTAACCAAATGTGCTAAGGACTGTTCCACTATGCTTGCAGTCCACTGGTTGATGTTGTTCTGATTATAATCTTCACCACCTAAGACCCCATCTATACACTAAAAGGGTAGAGGATAATCAAACAAATTATACACAAATTGCAGCAAAAATTATTCAAAACATGAAATATATTTATAACCCAATAAAGCATCTTGGGAAATATTTATTATGCATTGTGTCTAATTATTTTAGAATTTTCAAAGCATTTCTGCATGCATTATCTCTCTGTGAGATACTATGTGTCATATAAAGATAAATATGGCATGGCCTCTGTTGTAAAGAACTGAACAATCTAGCAGAGAAGCTAATAAAAGAACTCTATGACACAAGGAAGGGTAACCAAGTGTGATAAGTTATGTCATAAAAGGATTATGGATGCGGGTGGATATTACAAAAGGGTGATACCAATTGGTTAAAGAACAGCTTGGAACCAGCTGGCATTTGAACTAGGTTTCAGATGCTAGAAACAAAGGATGTGATCAATTTAAAAATATAATTCTCATGTATAATAATTATATTCTCATTCATGTTATATAATTGCTTAGCTATAAAACAATTAACACACTTGCCACTATAAGTAAATCATCGACGAACACTACCTTTCCGGTATTCTAGAAAGAGAAAGTTAAATAATTTTCCACAGTGCTTACCTGCATCCATTTCTGATGCCTGATTAACAACACTGGTTTAGTATCACAGTCTTAGGTTTTAAGGTCAACTCTGCCACCTACTTGCTGTGTGACCTTCTGAAGTGACTTAACCTCTTGAAGCCCCTATTTTCCTAATCCACAAAGTAGGGATAACAGCCTCATCTTATCAGGTTGTTGTTAGGATGAGGTGAGACCATGAATGCCAAGTGCTCAAACACAGCGACTGCCACAGGATAAGTACATAAGCAATGATATTATCATCATCATTATTATTGCTGTTATTTTATATTTGCAGTTTTATTGAGATATAATTGACAAATAATATTGTGTAAGTTTAAGGTGTACAATGTGATGATTTGATACACATATATACTGTGAAGTGATTACCACAATAAGGTTAGTTAACACATTCATCTCCTCACATAGTTATCTTTTGTGTGCGTGTGTGTGTGTGTCCGGTGAGAACATTTAAGATCTACTCTCAGCAACTTTCAAGTATACAATACAGTATTATTAACTATTGCCACTATGCTCTACATTATACCCCCAGGACTTATTCATCTTATAGCTCGAAGTTTGTACCCTTTGACCAACATCTCCCCAATTCCCCTCCCCTGGGCCCCCCACCCTCACAACCCCCCAACCCCCGCAACCTCTGTTTCTGTGAGTTTGGCTATTTTAGATTCCATATATAAGTGAGATCATACAGTATTTGTCTTTCTCTGACTTATTTTACTGCTATTATTTTATATTCAAGCGACAGAGCCTGGACAATAAAGCACTCATTCAATTCATGCATAGAATCCAGCTTAATAACTAACACACACACACACACACACGCACGCGCGCAGCTTTCATTTACTACAACTGGACTAAAGATTCATAAAGGCACAAATTAATATGGAATGTTAAGCTGGATAGTATAAAATCTTCATTGATGATAAAATGTAAAAAAAGAAATTAAATTTAGAAATGCTAAAGAAAGTAAAGTGGCTCAAATTATTCTAGAATGTTCAATAACATGACAGAGTTAGGGGGACCAGTGGCCCCAGGGACAGGGGAACAGGGTTTTAATTCCGGCTTTATCATTCCTAAGTTCGTGCCCTTTGGGCAAACCTCTTCCTCTCCCCAGACTGCTTTTCCTTCATGGGAAACTAAGAGCACTGGTTTTTCTTTCAGGTTTTCTAATAGGAACACTTCAAGTTCTGCTCTAAACAACAGAAAACATCACAGGGCTGAGGATCCCACTGCAAATATCCTGTTAATTGCTATTAATTAACATTTCGCTTTCGCAATTACCAGTAACCAGGAGGCCCACTAGATAACGAGGTCCTTCACCTGTTTTATGTTCCCAGGGCCAAATTCAGGACCTGGGCATGTAGCAGGCACTCAATAAATGTTTGTGTTGAAGTAATAGTGGCTTTGATACACTCTCTGGGCAACCCGAATCAAATATACTTTAGACTAAGTTCCAAGTTCATTCCATTTGTGACTCACTTTTTCTTTGAGAATTTGTTTAGGGACAAATTCCATTCCTGACAATACATAAAATATATGCATATCGCTGATGAGTGAGTGGCTCTAAGACTTCTGAGGGGAAAAAATATTAGCATAGGGGTTCAGAGCAAGGAATCAAAGGAAAGAAAATAAGGTGATCAGCAACAGATAAGGAAAACAGAAATACCTGCTGAAATTGTGTAATCATCCAGGAAGTGCTGAAATGTTTTAAAATAGTGCTCGCTCTCTCTCAAGCCTTTCCAATGCCTCAATGGCAGAGAGTTGGCTCATGGGAAGGAAGGGGGAGGGAAGAGGATGGACATGCAGCTGAAAGTCACCTGAAGCAAACGTGAGATTTCTTTGAAGTTTCATATTTCATATAAAAAATTCAAGCAAAGCTTGCTTTTGTCTCCATAATGTGTTAGAGTTTGTTTTCATTAAAAAATGTTTTCAGTTAAATTATTTTTTTAAAGATTTTTTTTTTGCTTTTTCTCCCCAAAGCCCCCTGGTACATAGTTGTATATTTTAGTTGTGGGTCCCTCTGGTTGTGCTATGTGGGACGCCACCTCAGCATGGCCTGATGAGTGGAGCCATGTTCACGCCCAGGATCCAAACTGGCAAAACCCTGGGACACCCAAGCGGAGCGTTCGAACTTAACCACTCAGCCACGGGGCCAGCCCCACAGTTAAATTATTTATATTATTTAACTCCCTTTTGCAAATATTTAAGTAAAAAAATTGGTGCTCTAAATTGCACCCAGTGGCTTCCAGCACCTTCTAGCCACTGCAAAGCATGTATATCCCAGTTTAAGCATAGTTCTTTTACTTTAATAAAATCTCAAAGTAACACATGCACATGGTTTTCAAAATCCAACAGGCCAGAAGAGCTTAAAATGAAAAGCAAGAATCCCCTCCCCTCTCTTTCCTATCCCCGGTCCCCTTCCCCAGAGGAAACACCTTTCACGTACAACTGTTTATTTCTTCTAAGGGTTACTTACACATCCCCGAATACTATTTACATCACTAGTTCTTGATTTATGAATTACAGACGGTGTCCCTAGAACTCCTGCTGTGAGAGATGGAAATTTAGTTCCCTCAGACCACCAGCAACCTTCCTCCCCCACTTCCCTTAATACAGTGAATTCATTATTTTTACTTCGATATATTTACATTGCTAGAAGCATGCATCTTTTCTTCCACTCCTCACATTTCCTTCCACACAGAGGACTTTGCCTTGGCATTCCCAGCCTCTGGCCCCACCTGTTATCACTCCTCTCCACAGACGTGGAGTGAGTTGCCTGACTGGTGGGTGACAACTGCTGTTCCACCATTCCCATCTGGGAGAGCCAATCTCCCGAACGCCTTAGACTTGGACATTTGGTCTCTCCTTCCCTTTCTGCCCAGACCAACAAAAGGCACTAGCCTGGCTGAGTGTTGCTTTCTGCTGACTCAAAGTTTCCCTTGGAAGCCTCTTCCAAGGACTGAACTAAGCAGGCAGGGAGTTTGTAAAACAAGCTCCAATCTCCAACCCAGTCTTTACAAACAATAAAGGTGATATTTTATTCTCTTTCTAATGACTCTCTGGTTCAGAACGTGGGTAAAGAAAAAGGTACTATTTAAAAGACTACTCAAATACCTGAGCAACCTCTTCTTCATGTTACATCAACCAAGGACAGTCTCTCTTGACTTTCGACTTTGAAAAATCAGGCTGTTATCACTCCTGCCCTTCCCGTGACTTCCATCCTCTCTTCTACCTCCCATTCACCCTCATTTGTGCTTTTGCATTGTTAAGGGATCGAAAACATTTGCATTCTATTTTAGTAATTAAATATGCCTAGCTACATAGTTCTAATACATGATTCTGAAATATTAAAATATGGCAGGAGGGAGGACATCAGCATCACGGCAAAGTAAGCTCTTCCAGTAAACTCTCCCCACAAAGATAAAATGAAAAGGACATACATATTCCAACAGAGGACATCCGCACAACACAAAAGACATCTGAGAGACCCATGTAGCCACGTGTTGGAAGGTGGAGGTGCTGGGGCCCCCCTGAGGAAGTCGATCGAGGTAAGAGAATGCTTCTCTTCCTCATGGAAAGACAGCAACCAGGAGATTATGTGTAGCCACAGGGAGGAAAGGAGGGAGGAAGTGATGGTCCTCCCAGGGAACACCATAGATCCCTGAAGTCCCTCACAATCAGGGGGGAAGCCCCTCACAGAGGGGACTAGCTATGGTGGGGGTGTCTGCATCAAGCCAACATCCTAGAAGAGCAGATAGCGAGGGCACAGGAGGAAGTCCCTGAGATCGTGCAGAAGAACAAAGCAACCCCTCCCCCTCCTGGCGCCCTGGTGCCACTGCTCAGCAACTTGGAGCTGTCCCCTCAGTTGCAGTGGGCTCAGAATATGCAGCTATTGACCCCCACCTAGTGGCAAAGGGCAGAAGTGGCAATCAAATGCTACCACAATGTGGAAGCACAAATTTACACCATCTAACAGTATGAAAAATTATATTAAATCTCCAGACCAGAAGGAAAATGACAAGTACCCAGAAATAAATCCTGAAGACACAGAAATCTATAACCTGAATGACAGAGAATTAAAAATAGCTATCATTAAAAAAACTCAATGAGTTAAAAGAGAATACAGATAGACAATTCAACAAGTTCAGGAGCTAATTCACAAAAGAGATTGAAACTATAAAGAAGAACCAAGCAGAAATATTGGAGATGAAAAACACAATGGATGAGATAAAGCAGAACATAGATTCCATGAACGGTAGAGCAGATATCATCAAGGAATGAATCAGCATGATTGAGGATAGAAATTCAGAAATGCTTCAGATGCAGGAGGAGAAAGAACTAAGACTAAAAAGAAATGAAGAAAGTCTCCAAGAAATATCTAACTCACTCAGGAAATGCAACATAAGGATTATAGGTATTCCACGGGGAGAAGAGAGGGAGAGTGGAGCACAAAGCTTATTCAAAGAAATAATAGCAGAGAACTTCCCAAACCTGGGGAAGGAGATGGAAATTCACATGAAGAAGACCACCAGATCTCCTAACTTTGTCAATGCAAAAAGACCTACTGCAAGGCATATAGTAGTGAAGCTGGCAAAAGTCAATGACAAAGAAACAATACTAAGGGCAGCAGGCAGAAGGAAATAACTTACAAAGGAATCCCTATCAGGCTTTCGGCAGATTTTGTCAGCAGATACTTTACAGGGTAGGAGAGAGTAGAATGATATATTCAAATCTTTGAAAGACAAAAACTTTCAGCCAAGAACACTCTATCAAGTGAAAATATCCTTCAGATATGATGGAGAAATAAAAACATTCCCAGATAAACAAAAGCTAAGGGAGTTCAGCACCACAAGACCATCCCTAAAAGAAATCCTCAAGAAGGCCTTCATACCTGAAAAAAAAAGAAGGGGTTACGAAGCCCTGAATGCAGGGTTCTCCTGCATTTCCTTTGTTTCTCGTTCCGTGTATTTCAGACTACCAATTCAGTTAGGTAGTTTTTTATGCTGAATTTCTTAGTTTTCTCCTTATTTATTATTTGTGACTCTGCTCTACTTTTTTCTTTAGTGGTTACCATGAGGTTTGTATGCAAAATCTCGTAGATGAGATAGTCCATTTTCTTTCTTTTTTTTTTTTGAGGAAGATTAGCCCTGATCTAACATCTGCCACCAATACTCTTTTGCTGAGGAAGACTGGCCCTGAGCTAACATCTGTGCCCATCTTCCTCTGCTTCATACGTGGGACACCTGCTACAGCATGGCTTGACAAGCCGTGCATAGGGCCGCATCTGGGATCCGAACCAGCGAACCCCAGAAAACAAATGATAAAATGGCAGCATTAAGCCCTCATATATCAATAATCACTCTAAATATAAATGGATTGAACTTGCCAATAAAAAGACACAGAGTGGCAAGATGGATTCAAGAACAAGACCCAACAATATGCTGCCTCCAGGAAACATCTCAGCTTCAATGACAAAGACAAGCTCAGAGTGAAGGGATGGGAGATAACACTCCAAGCTAATGGCATATAAAAGAAAACAGGTGTAGCAATTCTTATATCAGACAAAGTAGACTTCAAGATAATGCAGGTAAAGTGAGACAAAGAGGGGCAGTATATAATGATCAAAGGGATATCCCACCAAGAAGACATAACAGTTATAAACATCCATGCACCCAACACAGGAGCACCAAAGTACATATAGCAACCATTAACAAACCTAAAATGAGATACTAACAACACAATAATAGTAGAGGACCTCAACACTCCACTCACATCAATGGATAGATCTTCCAGACAAAAAGTCAACAAGGAAATAGTGGAACTAAATGAAAAGCTAGACCAGATGGACTTAATAGTTATATATAGACCACTCCATCCAAAAACAGCAGAATACACATTCTTCTCAAGTGTGCGTGGAACATTCTCAAGGACAGATCATATGTTGGGAAACAAGGCAAGCCTCAATAAATTAAAGAAGATTGAAATAATAACAAGCATATTTTCTGACCATAATGCTATGAAACTAGAAATTAACTACAAGAAAAAAGCTGAGAAAGGGACAAAGATGTGGAGACTAAACAATATGCTACTGAACCAATGGATCATTGAAGAAATTAAAGGAGAAATAAAAAAATATCTGGAGACAAATGAAAATGAAAACACATCATACCAACTTATGTGGGATGTACCAAAAGTGGTCCTAAGAGGGAAATTTATTGCAATACAGGCCCACCTTAACAAACAAGAAAAATCCCAAATAAGCAATCACAAACTACACCTAACTGAATTAGAAAAAGAACAAACAAAGCCAAAAGTCAGTAGGAGGGAAACAATAAAAATCAGAGCAGAAATAAATGCAATTGAAACAAAAAAGGCAGTAGAAAGGATCAATGAAACAAACAGCTGGTTCTCCGAGACGATAAACAAAATTGACAAACTCCTAGTCAGACTTACAAACAACAAAAGAGAGGACACAGGCCCCAACAGCCATACCCACAGCACAAGCATGCCTCCTGGGCCAGCTCACTGTGTTCTCGGATTTGGCACGGTTAAAAATGACTATTAAAAATGTTCATAAATACCTTACCCGCAGTGTAGTCTGTATGTGATACCACTAGACTTAATTAAAGTTCTGCCAGAATGGACTCCCAAAGAGGCCTTCTGGTCTACTTGCTTAACAGGAGGACCAGATTTCACCTTTCAACATTTTTCTTAGGATTTTTATTTACTATCACATCAGTGTCTAAAAGATGTTAAGTGATTACTTTTCTAATTATATTGGGGTAAAAACTGCATACAATGGCCAAAAGCAGGTATTTCTAGGGTCTTTTATTTATTTGACACATATATGTAATATTAGACATAATTTATCTATATAAAAGTATATATATGTCAAATATATACATGTTAAATGTTAATGCTATAAAAGTATACATATACTTTATATATATAATGCTATAAAAGTGTATATATTATATATATAAATATATATTTTAAATATATATAAGTATATATAGACTTTTAAATGTTAATGCTATAAAAGTTTATATGTATAATTATATATATAAATTTAAATATATATTTAATGCTACGTATTTTTTATATATTTATGTATTTAATAAAATGTTTTATTTATAACATATATTATATTTAATAAAATATATTATATATATACTTTTATAGCATTAACATTTAAAATAATATTGGCCTACTGAAATAAAAGTTCTTTTACTCAAAGGCAGGTCACCAATTTTAGAAAACAGCAAACCAATTTTCTAGACCAATACTTAAACATCAATTTAAGAGTAAGCCCCAGGATGTCTGACAGCATACGACAAAACATAGAAGCACCCCTATAAAGTTAGCGAATAAATATTAAAAATCTTGTTTTAATACTAAGGTTTTTAACTTTGTACTGAAAGTCAAAACATAAGTTTTCAAAATTTCAATCAGTGCAGCAGGCTTCAGGGTGAACAGATGTAGAACTTACCTCTTTAATGATATTGTGGGCTTCATCAGCATTGAAGCCAACCTAAAGGGGAAAAACAACTGATAAAGCTGCTTTCAACACAGACATCTTTTTATCTGAAGCTATGATGATACACAGAACACTCTAGGCTGGCCTGGACAGGTATCAGTGACAGGAGACCAAAGGTGGGGAGGGGCATCAGGTCTCCCGAGGTTGCTAATCCTACCCCAAACACTTTTAAAATTACAGAATGCTTTCCCCACCCAGCTCCCTGGAGATTTTGATTCATTCAGTCTGGGGCAGGGCCTGGGCAACTACATTTGTTTAAAAAGTGCTTTACTGCTGATTCTGATGAATACCCTAGACTGAGAGTCACTGTATTGTAAAGCTCAGGAAACAAGCAGGAAGTAGATATAAAGATGTATGCGTTATCAGTACACAGGAAATGGTCCATGAGAAGAGCATGCTTAATAGATTATTTTCAATTTTGTTTTTAACTTGTGCTAGGCAAAAATGTGGCTTTCCTGAATTAAAGATTATGAAAATACTTGAACATTCAAAATTAATGTCACTTTAATAATTTATAATAGGTCTGGCAACTTAGTGTTTCCTCTGGAGTGGCTTGTTAGAACCTTGAGTTAAAAGCAACTATTAATGATACCCAAGTATCCTAGAATAGACAATTGGCGGTGTGATAAGACTGAAATCTAAAACAAAAGACTTCTGGTAATATATGATTTGTTTCCAAGGAGATGTTTTTAGGTGCTTTATGACATCAGCATTTTCATAAATCCCACTACACAACTTAAAATTAGTTCAAAAAACAAGTAAATTTTGAAAATAAGTATCATCTCCAGTACACATTTAAAATATTTTCAACTTAACTCAATTACACCACAGAATTACAACGAAGGAATAAAAACACCCTAAATAATTAGGAATAGTATGAAAAAAGTTCCCATGTTTTGACCCTATTAAAATTACCATTTTACCACAAAATAAGGTCTTTATCTATTTTCAAAATTGGCCTACAAATTAAATGATGTCCATTTCACTTTGATTTGGAAAGTCACCAAATAATCAGGATGTACTTGGTGACCATAATAACACATGTAATTTTATTTCTTTTTAAATATACGTATTTAGGACGCACTGCAGTACAGAAAGAACCCTCTCAGGAGTCAGGACTTGTTGGAGGATATGCCTCAGGATGAAACTGCTTGTGCCTCAATTTCCAAAATAAAAACACTTTACCACGAACCTGCAAGTAAGTAGGTATGCTACCTGCCTCACAGAACTATTTTAAATGTGGTTTTAGCTTCTACAGAAGCCTTCATCCTAAAGATGAATGGATCAGAAGCCCCTTCCAGGGGTCTAACAATACACCATTTTATGGGGCACCTCCACCACGTGCCTACTTTTTTTCACTGCACCATTCACCTGTGGCTACCACTGGACAGAAAATGTCTTTGTCTATTCTGCCCTCGAGGTCTGTCACAGCTTACGCTGGAATGCAACAGGCCTCATCCTCCTAGCGGTTAAAGTGAAGCCAGTGTTGCAGTTGTGTACTCAGAGGCCTGGGTTCAAATGGAGCATCTGTCATTCCTGGCAGTTTTAACTTTGGGCAAGTCACTTAGCTGCCATGAAGGTCAGAGTCCCCATCAGTAACAGGAAGATGAAAACTGACATCACGGGGTTCTGGTGAGGTTTCGGGAAGCTAGTCAGTAAGCAAGAGCTCGTAATCCATGTAGCACCTCCTTCCAGCCCACCCAGGTGACAGTGCCCGGGAGCGGGAGCGGCTCTGCCACCACGGCCTCGCTCGCGGGGTTGCGGTACCTGCTTTGGGGACGCCAAGGGACGGAGGAAGCAACCGGGAAGACCGGTTTTCAAGGCCTGCCCTGCAGACGGGCGGCGCCCGCCACCCCATCCTCACCGCACGCACCCCGAGTCAGGCCCTCCATCCCTCGTCCCCGACCCCGCCACCGGCCCCAAGCTCTCCCGGCCGCCCCTGCCACCCGGACTCCCAGCCCACCCTCAGGGTCTCCGGGTGGGGGACCGAGACGGGCGGGGCGGATCCCCGGCCCCGAGGGGAGGACCCGGGCTCGGAGGACACCGCACCCCAACTCTCCGGGCCACCAAGCGCCTGGAGACCACCCGGCCGAGAAACCGCACCAAGGCGGGCGGGGGCAGGGGTCGCTCGCAGGCAGCAGAGGGGCGGTACCTCGTCGCAGTGGCGATGGTACTCCTCCATGGTGGCGCCGACTCTCCCGAGGGCGGAGCGACGCGCAAGTCGAGCTCCGCGGCCGCGCACTGGCCTCCGGGGAGGCCCCGCCCCGTCTATATCCCGGGGCGTTCCCCCACGCGGGCCCCGCCTTTGTGTCGTACTGGCGCCACCTTCCAGGGGGCGCCGGCAGCGTTCTAGGCGATGGAATGCTTCTCCCCGCTGCCTCCGACCTTTCTGGAAAGAAGGGATGGGTGTTAAAGAGCTGGGAATTGTGCCAGCGTGGATCAGATTGGGGGACGTAGTGTCAGTCAGTCTAGACTCCACAGTATGGGTTAGTGCCCAATACTGTGGTTATTTGCACATAGTCGTTCATCATAATCCAGCAAATAATCATAGTTAATGCTACGTGAACAAGGCACTCTGATTTGTCCACTTATTAGCTGTGTTACTTGGAAAAATTGACCTCCCACAGCCTCAGTCTTTTCGTATGAAAACATACCTATTGCACGGTTGGTTGTACGGACCAAATGAGATGCTGTATACATAACTCCTAAAGTAGATGCACCTATACCCCTCCTCCCCAATGACTGTGTAAAAAGCAATATTTGATTTATAGGAGAGGAAGTACAAATATCCTAAATTAAACAATAAATCCTAGCAGAACAATGATTACGTTTATTTAAAAATTACTAAGTTCCAGAGGATCCTAAGGATTTCCTCATTTAAACCCATAAAAACCCAGCAGGTTTGGTTCTGTTACCCTCATTCCATTTTTACAGATGAAGCTGAGGTACAGAGAGTTTAAGTAAGGTTCCCAGAGTCATATATCCAGTAAGTAGTAGAAGAAGGGTTTAAACTCGAGTAGTCTGATAACAGCACCCAAGTTCTTAACCACTGTATTAGTTTCCGACTGCTGCTGTAACAAATTACCATACATTTAGTAGCTTAAAGCAGCACAAACTTCTTATTTTATAGTGCTAGAAGTCAGAAATGTAAAATGGGTCTGTAGGACTGTGTTCCTTCTGGAGGCCCCCACGGGAGAATCCATTTCCTTGCCTTTTCTGGCTTCTAGAAGCTGCCTGCATCTCTTGGCTCAGGACCCCTTCCTTCATCTTCAAAGACAGCAGTGTAGCATCTTTTCTCCTGACTTCTACTTCCATCCTCATGTCCTCGCCTCCTGTCTCCCTCTCAAGATCCTTAACTCAATCATGTCTGCAAAGTGCCCTTTGCCACGTCAGGTAACATATTCATAGGTTCCGGGGATTCAGATGTAGACATCTTGTGCGGGGGGGGGGGGGGGGGGAGTGGGCGGGGGGCGGCATTATTCAGCTTACCACAAGCACTATTTTGTTTTGATCCCTGAAATCAAAGTTGGAAGGTTCGTTAGTCTTCTAGTCCAACTCTTTTATTTTACGAATAAAACCGGAGCTCAGAGAGGTGAAGTAACTTGTACAAGGACACATAGGTGTTCATTGGCCCCCTGGGCTTCTGAATCTCAGGCCCTTCCATTTTATGCTCTCATTTTATGAGCTAGGCTGAATTGAATTGCCCTGTTCATTTGATAATGTGCAGTTTCTTACTGCTTCTCCTAAGTTGTGGGTCATGTCAAGGTTACTGCAGACAAGCTGCATTTGTAAATCATAGAGGAAGACTATTTCTCCTCTTTCAGGATATTTTTTATACCAAAGTTATTATCCTATAAGCAATTCCAATATTATATGAGAAGGCTTAGTGCTGTCCTTGTGACCAAAACCTTACTTCCCTAAAGAATTGTTTCTGTGTCTAGGGAGGTCGAACACAGAAGTAAAATAACCTGAAAACTGGAAGGGCCACTCTGTCACTTCTCAGGTTTATGTTATACGGTAACATGATAAATATAAAGTGAGGTGAAGAATGATTGTTCCAGTTGCCACCTCTGCATAATAAATCACCCCAGAAGGTAGCAGTATATTTATTTTATTGTATTATGCTCATGGATTCTATTGGTCAAAGATTTGAAGAGGGCGTAGCAGGGATACTGTGTCTCTGCTCCACGATGTCTGGGGCCTCAGCTGGGAAGATTCACAGACTGGAGGTAAATGGATGGTAGAGGCTGGAAGCATCTGAAAACTTGTTCAACACACATGTCTGGTACCTGGGCTGGAACGAATCAAATATCAGGACTGCCGACTGGAGCACCAACCCGTGGCCCTACCAAGTGCTTGGCTTCCTAACATCGTGGCAATCTTAGGGCAGTCAGACATCTTATATGACAGCTCAAGCTTCCAAGTGTGAGTGTTCCATTGAGCAAGGCAGAAGCTACATGGCTTTTCAGTGTCACAAGTCACACAGCATCATTTCCACCATACTCTAATCATTGAAACAGTCACAGCCCACTCAGATTCAAGGGGAGGGTACACAGAACCCATCTTTCAATGGCAGAAGTGTCAAATAGTTTTGGGACCATGCTTTAAAACCACCACAGCTTTATTAGTTAGTATCCCGGTTGCAAGTAACAGATGATTCAAATAGGATGGGCTGAAATAATAAGGACATTTGTTTTCTGGCAAAGCCAGAAATACAGAGGTAGAGATGTTCCAGGTTAGTTCAGTTGCTCAAGAATGTTTCAGAGCTTCTGTGCTTCCCATCTTTTCATTCTACTGTCCTCAGCACACTAGCAATATTTAGTCTCATGGCCGCACATGGTTGCAGTAGTTCTGGTATCACATCCAATGAAGGAGATGGATATTGCCTTGGGTTGACCAGATTTTCTTAGGAAGGCAAACCTCTCCTTCAAGCCCCAGGAGTCTTCTCCTCAGGTCCCATTGGCCAAGGTTGGGCCACGTGATTCCTCACTTGGCAAAACCTATGGGAAAACGTACGTTTGGCATTTTCATCTTCTGTGGTGAAAACGAGTTCTGCTAGAGAGAAAATAGGGATGTGAAATAATTGTTGGTAGAATAGTCCTTTCCAGCTCTTATCATGCCATGGCCCATATATAAAAGACGATGACATTTACATGGTACATTGGAGTAAACTAGAGAGGCTTTGGGAGCATTTTTTTAGGGTTTGGTTAAAAAATATTTGCTTACATTATATAATGATAAGAAAAAATAAAATAGGAAAGATGTTAAAAATTGAATTTGTAAAAACTTGCAAATAAAATATTTCAAATGTTTTTATAATGAGACCTTCAATTTTGCTTTCATGAATGTAACATTTTATATCTGGATTTACGTTTAAAATAGCTATAAGCAATTCCCGTTTGAGAGTTTTTCATTATTCTTTTTCCTCCAAATATTAATAGATTCTATGTTGAGATGTGTTCTTCATAGAAGTAACTGATAAAAAACTTAGACCCATTTTACAAACCATTCAAACTATACTTAAATGCTTCTGTAATGGTAGTCTAAGTAATTAGGACCAACTCTTTCACCAGCAGTTAGGAAGGTTATACAAAATATAATAGGCATTTGCTTAAGGAATTGGAGCTTTAACGATGTGGGGGGAAATTGTGGATCTAAGACCCAGGAGAAGAATGAAACCTAGAAGCATGAGCAGGGTACTGGGGACAACTTTTCACCTGGGAGTGAGAAAATGCACAGCCTTTTGCTCATGGGCCAAGGGATAAAATACTCAGCTTCCATGGCTTGACAAGAAGGATGACTCTAGTGACAAGCATACTTTGTGTTGAGACTCCAAGGTAAGGGTGTAAAACAACCAAACTTGATCTTACAGGGACTGAAGCTCAGTTTTAAATCACTTTAATGTCTGAAATTAAAGTGATCTGGCATTGCTAATGCCTCTAGCCAACTTCCAGAAGCAAATGTAAAGTCTTTCTGGAGGAAGAAAACATCATCCTAGGCCTCAAATTAGGTATATAATTGTTCACATACATTATCAGGAGCACAACAGTATATAACTAGGCACATAAAGAGACAAAACAACATTTTCATAAATCAGTAGATAATGGGAATGGTCCAATCCGGGATCTAGATGGTGGAATTACGAGAAATAGACTTTAAAAGAACTATATTTAATGTATTCAGGGAAATGAAAGACAAGGTTGAGAATTTCATCAAAGAACTGGAAACTATAAAAAATATCCAAATGGGGGCTGGCCCCGTGGCCGAGTGGCTAAGTTCGCGTGCTCCGCTGCAGGTGGCCCAGTGTTTCGTTGGTTCGAATCCTGGGTGCGGACATGGCACTGCTCATCAAACCACGCTGAGGCAGCATCCCACACGCCACAGCTAGAAGGACCCACAATGAAGAATATACAACTATGTACTGGGGGGCTTTGGGGAGAAAAAGGAAAAAATAAAATCTTTAAAAGAAAAAAATATCCAAATGGATTGTCTAGAAGTGGGAAATACAATAACCAAAATTAAAAACTTAAAGAATGGGTTCTACAGTAGTTTAGACAAAGCTGAAGATTTAATTAATGAAATTAATAAAATTGGTCACAAGAAAACACTGAGAATGGGGCATAAATGAATGTAAAATACACAAGAAAGAGCCAGCCCTGATGGCCTAGTGGTTAAAGTTCGGTGCTCTCACTGCTTCAGTGACCCAGGTTTGCTTCCCTGTTGTGGAACCACACCACTCATCTGTCAGTAGCCATGCTGTGGCAGTGGCTCACATAGAGCTAGAAGGACCTACAACTAGAATATACAACCATTCACTAGAGCTTTGGGAGTTGTGGGGGGAAAGAGGAAGATTGGCAACAGATGACAGGGCAAATCTTTCGCTGCAAAAAAAAAAAAAGAAAAGAAAGAAATCTCCTTTAACAAAAAAAAAAAAAAAAGAAGAAGAAGAAGAGGGGCCAGCCCAGTGGTGCAGTGGTTAAATTTGCACATTCTATTTTGGCGGTCCGGGGTTTGCTGGTTCGGATCCTGGGTGTGGATGTGGCACTGCTTGGCAAGCCATGCTGAGGTAGGCGTCCCACATATAAAGTAGAGGAAGATGGGCATGGATGTTAGCTCAGGGCCAGTCTTCCTCAGCAAAAAGAGGAGGATTGGCAGCAGATGGTAGCTCAGGGCTAATCTTCCTAAAAAAAAAAAAAGAAGAAGAGGGGGCTGTCCTGGTGGTGTAGTGGTTAAGTTCATGCTGTCTGCTTCAGCAGCCCAGGGTTTGCAGGTTAGGATCCTGGGTGTGGACCTAGCACGTCTGGTCAAGCCATGCTGTGGAGGCATCCCACATCAAATAGAGGAAGACTGGCACAGGTGTTAGCTCAGCAACAATCTTCCTCAAGCAAAAAGAGAAAGATTGGCAACAGATGTTAGCTCAGGGCCAAAC